AAGGGCTGTTTCTCTGCAGCCAACACACAGACCAAGTACCAGGGTCTGCTGGGGGTGTGGTCAGCCAGGACATTTGGCCAGAGACTGCCCCAAGGCACCCCGGGCCCAGGGAAACGACGGGGGGCCCGCATAAAGGAGAATATGTGGAACCAAGCCCAAAGACTCCCCAACCAAACCACAGCTCTATTGCCACCGACTCAGACATCCGAGGAAGGAGCCCGACAGCACAGCCGGGGGAGCCAGACTCTACGCTCTCCTGAAGAAGATGACAGCACAGGCATGGAGCCTGTCGTCGCGGTGGGCCGTGCTGGTGGGGACTCCTGCTATGTCCCTGTCGATGTGGAAGGGGTGCCCTGCGCTGCACTGGTGGACACAGGCTCTACAGTAACCCTGGTGAGAGCAGATGTGTTGCCCAGTGGGACTATGTTCGAGCCGACATCGGTGCGTCTACGCACAGTCACAGGAGAGTTGGTGGCTATGAAAGGAAGAGGCGTGCTGTCTGTGTCGGTGGGGGGAGTTGAAGTGCGGCACCCCGTGTGGATAGCGGATGTACAGGACCCGTGTATTCTGGGTTTGGACTTTTTGAAGGCGACGGGCTGCCTCCTGGATCTTCAAGCAGGCACAGTGAGTTTCCGGGGGGGGCCTGTGATTACTATGACCCGTATCCACAACCCTGCTGAGCCTGCGGGGAGACCCCCTACACCCACCGTGAGTACCCTAGAAACCGAGGAAAACCCTCCCTCCGTTCCGGTATCCCCGGTGACGCCCACTCAGGACAATTCCCCACCTGTCACCCCCGGACTGCGCCACCCGAGCACAGCCCCCCCCAGTTACCCCAGACGGAGGTAGAAGAGGCTCAGTCTGCAGTATTGGAGGTGTGGAGGAAGAACTGTGGCGGCCTAAATCCCGAGCAGCAAGAGCAATTGGGGCAGCTTCTGCTAGAGTTCCAGGGCAGTTTTGCCATGAAGGAGGAGGAGGTGGGCCGAACGCATCTGGTGGAACACGAGATTGATACGGGGGACTCGCGTCCCATCAGGTGTCGCCCGTGCCGACTTCCCCTGGCTCGTCAGCAGGCTTGCGACGAGGCAGTGCAGAGCATGCTGCAGGCAGACATTATCGAGCCCTCCGACAGCCAGTCATGGTCCCGAAGAAGACAGGTGGCTGGCGGCTGTGCTCAGACTACAGACCGGTGAACGGGGTCACCAAGAAGGATTCATACCCCCTTCCCCGCATCGATGAGTCCCTGGACCTGGTCGCAGGGTCGTCGTGGTTCTCTTCCTTGGACCTCCGCAGCGGGTATTACCAAGTCCCTCTTGCCCCAGAGGCCAGACCAAAAACGGCTTTCTGCACCGGCCGGGGACTATGGCAGTTCAAGGTCCTCAGTTTTGGGCTGTGTAATGCCCCGGCCACCTTTGTGCGATTGATGGACAGGGTGCTGTCTGGGATTCCCCGCCAACAGTGTTTGGTTTACCTGGACGACATCCTGGTGCATGGCAGCTCGTTTGAGGCGGCCCTGGGATCTCTGAGAGTGGTGCTGGAGAGGATCAGAGCCGCTGGTTTGAAGCTACATCCAGATAAGTGTCATTTCCTGCAGAGAGAGGTCACTTTCCTGGGCCACAAAGTGGGGGGGGAGGGCATCGGCACCCTGCACGAGAAAGTGCAGGCGGTCACAGGCTGGCCAAATCCTCGCAACCAGAAACAGCTGAAGAGTTTCCTGGGCCTGGCCTCGTACTACAGGAAGTTTGTACGGGGTTTTGCTTGCACTGCCGCACCCCTGTTCCAGCTGCTGCAGAAGGACAGGGATTTCCTGTGGTCTGAGCAATGTCAAGCAGCGTTTGACGGCCTTCTGCGTGCCTTGAGTGAATCCCCGGTTCTCGCCCCAGCCAACCCCAGGCTGCCGTTCACCCTGGACACAGACGCTAGCGGCGTTGGGGTAGGCGGAGTGCTCTCCCAGACTACACCAGAGGGGGAGCGGGTGGTGACATACTTCAGCCGGGCATTCAACAAAGCGGAGCGACGATACTGCGTCACCCGCAGGGAACTTTTGGCAGTGGTGCTGTCCATCAGGCACTTTAAGTACTACCTGTGCGGGCAGGCGTTCACGGTGAGGACGGATCACTCTGCATTACAGTGGCTCATGACGTTCAAAGAGCCAGAAGGGCAGGTCGCCAGGTGGCTAGAAGAGCTCCAAGCTTTCGACTTCAGGGTGGAGCACCGGGCTGGGGTGCGCCACACAAATGCAGACGCTCTCTCCCGCCGCCCGTGTGCCGCCGGCGGATGCCACTACTGCGAGAAGAGAGAGACTCGTGAAAAGGAGCTGCTGGAGGAGGACATCGTCTGTGCGGCAGCGCAGCAAGTGGAAGAGGTTATCTGCCGGGAGCTCCAGACAGTGGATGTGAGTGGAAGCAACAGCAAGAGCGGGACGCTCAAATCCATCATAATAACAAATCATTACCATGCTGTCATGAACGTGCGGTGCTGTTACGTGTACGCAAATTGACGTGCTTGATGTGAACGAGCATTTTGGTTAAAGTTGCGCATGCTCTGAGTGCACATACGGGTACTTCTCAGGCATGCCGGGTAATCTGTGACGTTTCGCTCTCTCAAAAGTTGGGCCATTTTATCATCATGCGCTAATGAGCAACTCTCATAGGAATGAATGAGGCCCCGCCTCCCACGCTGTATCTAGTTCTTATTATACATCCATGCAGCTGACCGAACGCACACGCTATGAGCAACAGCTGATGGGGAGAGCGCCTCCACTAGCACATTTCATTTGTACATCACCGCATCTTTTGTGTAATTAAATGCTGTTAACTTTTATAAGCTTCCCTTGACTCTTTTCAGTCTGTCCTGCTCTCAGGGTTCAATAATTACTAACACTACACAGATTCAGTTCCTCTGTCCCTGAAAAGTGTTACTGCCAAATAAAATACGAAGACACTGTCTTTCACACTTCTATCTATCCGTCATGTTGGGTACTGAGAGAGAGCTGACATAAAACTTGAATCAGTATTCATAAATGTGCCATGTTGCTGTTATGAAGCTCCTCATAATGAATTTACCATGTGCCGAAGTGCGACATCCTTTTGCTTTTTTATGGCTTTTTAAATGTTTTGTTTTGCACTGAAGTCTGACGCCTGCTGCCCTTGGTTCAAGATGTTGGCAGTTCTATTATTCACGTCCCTGATGAGGCTGCATTATCCCATTAGCTCCAAACACTGGCGGCCATATGAGGGGCCAGTGACAAGCTGTCTGAGAGAAACTCAGTGTGCTCGGGACAGGGAGTCTCTGTTAAACCTCATTCATGGCAGCATGTCAACAGCCTAACTGCAAACAATGATACCTCACCAGCCCTTTTTTTAAATACATCTAATTTGCTTATTATAACTAGCCACATGTCATTCTGCACATGAGGGTTTTCACCAGTGGGTTATAACAGTTCTGAAGTCAGGCCTGCAGCTACTGAGGTCATGGTACTTGTTTGCTTACATATTTTAGTGAGTGATGGGTAAATGGACTGTATATTAATATTGTTTTTTTTATATAAGGTTACAGTGGTGCATAAACTGTAGAGGGAATAGTCGCTTCTTTAAACAACATTTTGGTTTTAAAATGGTTGTTTTTATGGCTGGAGAACATATGGCTGATGAACAAGATAAACCGTCAACATAAGAAAATTAAGATTGGTTTAAGTGCAGTGGACCTTAACCCGACCACCACACAGCCAGCCCTGTCACACCAAACACCTCCCAAAGGCGGATTCAACGCCCCAGAAGCAGAGGGAGGAGACCCTGGAGGGTAGCTAAGCTAACCGAGCCAGGACTAATGCTATGCAACTATCCAGCCTGCTCCTGGCTAATGTTGAAAGAAAATAAGATGGATGAAATAAGAGTCAGGCTAAACCAAAAAATACAGATTTGATACTGTTGTGCCAGCATCTACAGAGACCTGGCTTCATCGTGGCAACACATTTTTAATGTTAATATGCTGCTCATATTATCTGCCCAGAGAATTCACCATGTTTTTGTTGCTTATGAAAAATCGCTCTTTATAAATGCACAACACTTTTTGTTCTGTTTTCTCTTGTTTGACTTGTATTGCTTTTCATTTGTTGTTGTGACATTTTACCAGGTCACAGTAGGAAAATCACAGGTAGACAGTAATGACATGAATTATGTCTGAATTCCATTTTGCTGCTTCAGTTTAAGAGTTCTGTAATTGCAAGTTGTGGCTCAGTGTCATTCTGTCCTCATTTACTGAGCTACATGAATAGCCTATAGTGAAGTCAGTGTTACTAGCGCTTGTGAAAAAGGCGGTTCTCAGATCTAATGAGGTATTCTTGCTTTTCTCTCCCACATAAGGGAACTTTAACTTCAGATTAATTTGCAAAACAGGTACAACCACTCCTTGTTCTTGACTTAACAAAACAATACCGGTTTTGAGGGCCACTTCTTCCGCCTCACTCGTCAGATAAACTCAGCCGCTGCATGACTCAGTTAGCCGAGGAATGAGACAACAAAACAAAACAATACCGGCTCACTTGACGCACAGTACTGGTGAGTTCACAAAATCCCACGTCACTAGGTAGCCTGATATAGACCAAGAGACAAAGCTGTGGATGAAACCCGAGCTCACCAGCCTCCTACCTGTAACCATGACGACAGCAGCCGCTTCCAGTGAGGCAAAAAAAGAAAAGAGCTCAGAGGACATGTGGACAGAGGCTCCACCCACCTGGGGGAATCAACAGATCTACCCTGGCAACCCCATAACTCAAAAATTACCATAATCAACTTATTTAGATGTGAACATGGAATGATATGTTTATAAATGAATCCCTCAACCGTCTCTCCCCTTCTCTTGACCTCTAATTTATTTCCATCCAGTGCTGCATGGCCTTTTCGCAGCGTGCAACTGGATGGGGTTGAGGGCGTGTTGCTCCTGCTGGCAGGTGTATAAGCAGGTTGAGCAGGTTGTTCCCTGAATGCCACTCTGTTGAGCCCTCCTCCTCCCTCCCTGCTCCTCTCTCCGGGCCGAATGCTGATTCACTCTCACACTTTGGCAGCTCAGCGAAGAGATTTTGTTGCCTTTCTCATCTGACATAGCTTAAGAATAAGGTAAGGATTTACTGAGGAAGGATTTCATTTTGTCTTTGTCTCCTTACATTTTCTCAGGAAGTCTGTTTACACCGTTATACTAAAAAGTAAAACTAAAAACAAACACAAATAACGTTTTTCGGTGTGATATTTAAGCCTTAAGTCGCTTTCTACAATCATTTGTACAGTAACATGGACATTCAATGTTCTTTTAAAATAATTGTAATAGCAGCTTTTGAACAGAAATGCTGAGAATTAAGTTAATCACAGTGTGGCAACACATCACAACATCAAGTGACATACATACTATAGGACCTTACCTATTGTATTACATACAATGACAAAGTTTCCAGTGGACTGGAGTAAAAATCACAAATAGTTTTATCTGAGTAGAGTTTAACGGAATATTAAAATAGAGAACCTCAACATTGTTTGGTATTTGAGTAAATGTACTAATTTACTTTCAACCCCTGCTTGGGTTTAGTCTTATATGGACATTGGGGTTGTATAATACAGTTACAGTAAGTAATATAAGACAGATTCATTTTTAAACCAATTTGCAAAATAAATCATGTAATAGGTGTGAGGGTTAAAAAGTGTCTTTAGCTCTTTAGTATGTGTGTTTATAACCCTGTATATTCTCGGTGGACAGAGCTGTTGAGGTGATAGTGGGTACAGACTGTGACAGGCCAGCTGAGTGGGAACTATTTTTTAACAGTGGGCTCCTCTCAGTGTGAGGGGTCAGAGGTAAACATCGACACACAGCGCCTCAGAGACTCTGCTGAGGGCCAAATAGCATCTCAGCGAGTAGGGCGCTTTGCTACTGGAATTCCTTTCAAAAGAAAAGGTGGAGAGTTGTTTCCCACAGCTTTGCACAACGTGATGACGGATGTTCGAATATTTTAATTATTTTCAGCAGAGTAACACAGCGAAACAGAAACTACTGGTTTGAAACAGCCCACATATGCAATACAACGATAAAAAGCGGTGACATTTGTTTCAGGCAGATATATATGAACACAGGTTGCCTGAAACCTGTTTGAGATAAAAGCTCAAAGTGATTTTTTAATTTGATCTTTGCTTGACTTTAAATCTTGTTCCCACTGACCAGGTGCAGATTAAGGTATATGGTGCAAATCAAAACAAAGCAGCAGCTCTGCTGAGCTGCCTGTTAAACTGGTTTTATTAACTTGCCTAATTTACACCTGAACCTCAGTGCCTGCAGCGCAAATTGAGCCTATTATCCTCTACAGAGTGTATGTCACACTTCAACATGCTCTGCTAGTATTGTCTGTCTAAAAATGACTGTCGGTCAGTCAGGGACATAAATGTGCAGACAGACTGGGGGATTAGTTTTAGCCATTGTATGACTAAAAGTAGCTGACAAAATACGACAGACTTCATTCAACAACTCAACATAGGAACCACATAGATATCAATGTGCTGCATCATGAAATATGGGAGTCTTGTTAGCAATTGAAAAAATATGCTATCAATAATGCTATGAACAAGGGTATGTATTACTTGAACTTTGTTTCTAAGTATGTTTATTCTTCTTCAGTTTGTACCTTGGCTTTACACACTACAATACCCATGAGCCTTAGCTGCTGAAATATAACTTTGTCAAAGTCAGTATGCTTTGTCATTGCAATGAGAACGAAACACAGCACCAGAATCTGAAACTAAAGGAATTTGAACTATTGACTGTCGTATAAATTATCTACAAAGGGTAATCTGTAACTTCTGCTGACCGTACATGGTGCACACATAATTTAAAGCTCTGTGATTCAATGTTTCTTACTTAAAACACATCAAACTCCATTTGGTCTGGTGACAACAATTGAGTCAAAACAATCTCTTCGTCTTGAGGTTGCTGAAGATATCAAATAGCAATGTTCAGCCAGGTGCCTCTTTTATTGGATTGAGCCTATTTCTTTAATCACAGGCTCTTATTCCACCTCCCAGTGTCAAACTGTACTATTTAATTCCAACACAGTACAAAAACACTCAAAAGCAGGCTGATGAGTGGACGATAAACAAGCTTGCTGAGGAAGTGACCACAGGGGAACATATCTGGCTAATTGGTTATTGACACTCAATACAATTGCTTGTTTTCATAAAATGGAAGTTTCATTTTTTGGAAGGATGCAATTGGTGAGATTTTTCAGAAATCCCAAATTCTTCTCAAAGGCAAGGGATAACAATTATTTGCAGTGAGGTTGCCCAGTAGAGAAGCAAAGGGAGAACACATACAGTAGCTATGTAAATTCACCCTGTCATAAAGATCTCACTGGAGATTGTGTTGGGACCATGTTGAACTGGGGTTATTTTCCTGTGTAACTATGCAGGGATGACTGCTTTTCAATTCACATATAGGCATGTTCATGTAGCTGTGGCCCATGTCTGAAAGATGGAAAGCGGGACGGGAGCAGTTGTTCAAATAATTGTATTATGACTTGTTAAAGCAAGTTATTTACTAAAATGGAAACAATCCAAGATGTCTTTCTGGTCAGGGATGAACACAAGTTTAACACATCTGGCTGCTACTGCATGGTTTTTATTTTGGGTACTTGGTACAATATGTAGTCCCAGTCACTTGGTGGGAGCAGGAATACAAATAAAATAAATACATCAATAATTATGTCTGTCTTATATATTGCTTATAAGTCTTTGGGCAGGATTCACCAACTTTGAGTATTCATCTCTTATTTTGTTGAAGGGTCTGTGTATCATTTTCAGTGTTTTTGACTGCATGAGCTGTCAAACGACTATCCCTGTACCACATTTACAAAGGATCATAATGGAAATAAGCACATTTGCACTCTCTGTTTATTTTCATTTCATAAAAGTATATTGAACCTGTTGAATTTTGTATAGCAATTTGAAACTTACATTTCTTTTAAGTAATGAATTAAGTTTTATTTAATCTCTTGTATTTCAGAGTGAAACCAAACAAGGAAATGGGACTGTATTTAAAGACCACGGCATGCCTCTTTCTGTTTGTCCAAGCCTTTCACTTGGCATCGCTCCAAAATCCAACCGACTCTCCGGGGCGGACAATTGATAAAAGCTGGCTCCGTGAATTGGACAAGAAAGTTGCTAAACCTCATGATGCTGCATATACTGACAAGGGCGCAGAGAATGAGAGTTCTGTAGCTACTACTATGGATCCAATTAATGAAAACAGCAGTGGGAAAGCATCTGGCTCCATGGTAATATTTACTGAGGAAGAGAGGAATCTGGCCGACCAAGAACAGAGACAAGAAGAAACATCTGATGATCTGACTGTTGTCACTACCACATTTCCCACAAGAACAAAGCAACCTGAATTGCCAGGCACCGCTGTCTCTCCAACTCGTGCTGCCACAGATTCCACTAACTCAAGAAAGATCAACATGACAGTAGCTGAGGAGGAATTACAAAACTCCACGACTACTCCACAAAACTCCTCAACTGAGCTGAGCACACAGAACTCCACCAGTGTTTCAGATCACTCCAATACCACGGATTCACAGAAAACAACTTTGGCTCCAAAGAGCAACACTACTCAAGAATCCACGACAAAACCCCACCAAGACACAGGGATAACTAAGTCTACAGAACGTAACAGCAACACAACTTTACCAACCACAGTGAAGCAAGAGATAAATAAGACAACCGTGTCTCCTTCTACAACTGTACTCCCATCTGAGACCACAGAAACAAGTCCTGCTACTACAGCTGCCGCTGCTCCGAAAACACCTGTGACGTCCAACAAGACAGACAAAGCTGCTGCCTCAGGGAACAACCCAGATAGAGGTACTGCTGTTGTTTTAGGTGTCACAGTATCTGGTGCACATTTCTGTCCAATCTGCTTTGGATGTCTTGTTAAGAATTACCTCACTTTATAGACAGAAACCATAGAAATAGTAGTATTTGTGTGAAATTCTAGGCGCTCATAACATACATAACATTTTGATTGATTTAAGCGATAAAGCAACATAATATGAACAAAATCCTTAACAGATCACTCTTACAGACATAAAGTAACTATGCTTATTGCAGTCATCAATGTTGATTGTTTTAGACATTGCTCTTTTTTACCAGCCTTTAACTGACCCACATTTGCTGGCTTCTATTTTCCCACTGGCAGAGGACAAACACCCATTCTTTCAAAGAAAAGGTTGGATTGGGTTTCAGGTGCTATCAATGTGGCAGCTTTATGTGAAAGGGTCTATTACAACCACCTTTTTAAGGACAATGAACCCCTTATTTAGAGGCAAAAACCCCCCTGAAAGAGGCGGTCAGGGACTCAGGTCAGAGATGCTTGTGCTGCCTCTGTGCAGGGGCGTGAGACTAGTCTTTGGTGTCAACCACAAGATTGAGAAGATAGGACTGGAAAAAGTTTCTTTAGTGTAAATCTATTCTTCTATCTGTCTGTCTGTTTGTCCGTCCATCTATCCATCTATGCTTAATACAACCGACTAATATAATCTCCTTCACAATGGTGATCTGGCATGAAGGCAGCAGTTATATTGCAGGTCATTCTAAAACCTGGCATTATTTAAACATAAATAACACTTATCTATACTGTATCTCAAAAAGCTACTTGTTCTGCAAACGTGGGCGAGCTTAGTAACGACACCATGGCAAGAAGGTGTAAAAAGACTGAGGTTGGGATTATAATACAACTGAACTCTTACAACACAGATATATGTGACAGCATGACATAACACTAACAGATGATGGCAATAAACAATGGGAAAACAGTTGAGATACAGATGGAAAGACAACAATGAAAAAACTGCTACAGTTACTAAGACCTGCACAGTGTGCACACAATGGCGTGACAGACAATGTATATACATATTAACAGAGGACACTTTTCTGGCACTGTCTTTCCAGGAGTTTCAACCAAATTTGAGTTATCACCTGATGAAGGTGCTACATGAAAAGTCAGGAAGTTTTGAAGAGATTTAAAATTCATACTGAAATTAACATGAGTGTCTGCTCTGACATTGACAGAAATCAAGTTTACAAAATACCAACAAAAAAAATACGCCACTCAACCATATCTTATTCGGCCTACTTTCAAATAAAGGGGAGCAATGCAGCTGAAGACAAAAATGAAATAGCACTGTATAAATATATAGTTTTTTTTGCTTGACTTGCCCCAGGTTAGGATAAAATGTAACCTAGCAAGTCGCTAAATTGAGCCATTTGTAGATAAACGGAGCTGCTGAAATATTTACGTGGGAGTCCTGATAAAATACAAATGTGGTACTTCTATGTCAAAGGATAAAGACAACATTTCCTTCACTTTAACAACATTTCCTTTTTCTAGCTTCAACAATTAGCCAACACTTTAGTAACACATTTAAAGTCTATAGTTTACATTTTCACAGTTGCACATTTCTTTAACACTCATTGTCGGAATAGGTTAGTCATCCTATAATCATTTATGTTATACTTATACTAAGGTACTAATTACCTCTGTTCATCTCCATGAAGAAATGTATGGACACATTGAATCAGTGTTATGTAATTTAAAGTTATGAGGGATATAATATTATGGGAACTAAAGTGATGTTCAGTCATATTTCACATTGTTAATATTGGGATTGCAGCTTGTTGTCTTGAAATATTCAAATATATTCAAGAAATGATCATGATTTGGGCTTGTTAATTGCATTAATTATCACAGCGTAAAATATACTAATCTGTACAGCTGTCTTATTGGATGTGTATCTATGAAGCGTGCCGCCACTGGAAATACAGTTGTCAAAAACAAATTTCAGCTATAATTATCTGACAATTAACCCTCAAACGCAGCAGCTGATGGAAATAATGTTGTTGATGACACATTTTTTATATATCTCTCCAACCCCCTCAACTCCTCATTCCTCCAATAAAGGATTGGCAACAGATACCCACACGAGCAAAAGAAACGGAGCGTGGGGAGCTGTGCTGGGAACGGGTGTGGCTGTTGCCATCGTGGGACTGGTGGCCTATGTCATCCTGAAGAAGAAACAACAGAAGGGTTTCACTCACAGGAAACTGGTTGAGCAGTTTCCTTCAGACCCAGGTATGTTCCAACACACTAAATGCCAAACTGAATTATTTGTATTTTGTATAGCCTTTTAGATGGTAGCCTTAAGGTGAGGCTACTAGTGATTGACAGATCACTACAACAGGGTTTTTACAAAACAAGGTGTTGATCAGTGAGCTGGAGAGGTACCTCTGGTCTTTAGGGCACACATTCACACACACTAAGGTAAGCTTACCACGCAACATAGGATCATTTACTATGACAAGTTTCAGTTTCACAGATTCTTGGCACTACTTAGAGGAAGACGTGATTTTCTTGGACCTTTTCACCTTCAGGCCCTCATAGTTAACATTTCTCCATGCAGCTTCCTTCTCTTCTGAAGCATACAAGCATGCAAATAATGTTCAAACTGGATAGGTAACTAGTTAGTCAGCTGAAGTGCATAGACCAGCCTTACAACTTACATTTAGAACGAGAGAGTTAAACTGTGCTATGGGGCCTGTGGCTCATTTCATACTGTAAGTACTGTAGCAGTTCAAACAGTCAACAAAATGGCCTTCAATGTTAATCAAACCTTGCAAAACCTGTATGCAAAACAATACGCACCATTAGTCAAACATTCTCCATAATTTGTACACGCGGTTCATTGACTGCTGGAGCTGTAATCTCTGTCTGCATTAGCTTAGGCCAGCTATAAAAAACTAAAGAGCCAAGTCATTTTTTTATAAATACAATTATACAATAGATTTATACCTTCTAACACCTTATTTTCTTAGACCCGCAGTTTGGATACAAAAGTAATATACAATGTTTTTTGATTTATTATAACATCCAACTGACTAAGAATGTTGTGTTTTTTCTCTTTGGGATATTGAGCAACCCTATCTGTGTGTTTCAGTAGATTTTTGTATTTAGGAGTACGTCACTCCTTCAGTGTTCCTACTCACCTCCAGTCTCCCTTGTTTACTCTCACCTCTGCAAGGTGTTATGATTTCATACATTTCCCAAAGTGACTTTTTAAAAAACACCATATATTGTGTGTGAACTTGCTGCATTCAGTACCTTTAGGTACAGGAAACAATACTGCGAGAAATTATGATGTTTTTTCTAGAAAAATAGACTTGTTTGAAAGCTTTTTGTACATGTTAGTTCTAAATGGAGGCTCAGCAAGGGCACTTTTGCTTGTTGACTGTAATGGATTTTTTTGTAATAGTGAAAGCAAAGTTGGACAGTAAATATATCAAAGGGATGTTATTTCTGGGAGTTATCTTTGGGAATAAAAACATAACAACCCAAAAGTCAACCCAGAATTTCCACATCAACATTCACAGATTAGAACAGTAACAGAAGGATTTTTACCATGAATAACAGGTTAATTTGCAAATAAAAAACATAATCAAAATGTTCAGGAAGCTTTTTCTCTGTTAAGTACAAGATCAACATGATCATACAAATGTTTAATGTGAACTTGTCTGATTTCTAGTTCTCAGATTAGACAACAGCGAGCCTTTGGACTTGAATTTTGGAGTTGGTCGTTCTGCCTATTACAACCCTGGACTCCAAGGGGACAACATCCAAATGAGCAACTTTCCGTGACGTCACAGACACTAAAAAGACTCCAAGTACACAAGTCATGGACTACCTTCAAACAAAGTTGACCAATTATTGTATATTGGCATTTGATAGACGAAATGTTTTGTTGGAATTTTAAGACTAAGACTGTCTGAAAGTGAATTGTGTGGATGGAAAAGGGTTTTTGAAGATCCGCTTTCAGCCATTGCAAATGATACTTCAAACCTTATACTATACATGTGTCGTGTTGACTATAATTATGCATTCAATTAGAGAGACTACTGATCTATATGACCCAACAGCCAAAATAACGAGCAGCCATTTTTGTATGTTGCCAAATGATATCAAATTAAGTTTTGCCTGAAGAACAATATGTTTTGCAATTAATTAAGAATGTCAAAAATGTATACTTTGTTTGATTTTTGTATAATTTGTTTACATGAATAGGAGCTCCACAATCTCTACAGGACAAGCAAAACAAAAACATTAGCATATAATCAGATCAGCTAAAGAGGAAATACCAAAAAAGGAAAACAAGTGCTGTTAGTCTGCAGCCTAAACAGCAGATCATACGGGCGGCCTGTGGAGGCATTTGCAACATAATCAAGAAGCCACGGTGAACAATAATCATGTGTATATCAACAATCAACTGCTAGTATGGCATAAGGAAGGTAGTAAGAAGTTCAATTTGATACGTACTTTCAGAGTTTTCATAACTGGCAATCACAGCACGAGTCTGACAAAAGAACCGTCAAACCAAAGACCTGCTTGTTTCTTTTAAACCAGCTAGGGAGGATGGGTGCTGTTTTGTTATTCATAGACTGAGGTTTTGGTATTCTGGAAGGGATTCATGTATTTGGTCTTAGCATTATAGCAGCAACTATTGTATATCATCATAATATACTGCTTAAATCTTCTGACCTCCAGCTGTCCAAACAGAGATTTCAGTTTCTCATTTGGACACCTCGAAGAGTTACATAGTGTTTACCTGCTGTGTAGTGCGAGCAAAGTTATAAAAAATTGATACTGAATTAAAATAAATAATTTAAACATTGGTTTAACTTTGAGTGACAACCTTTTGGCAGGAAACTGGTCTCTGTTTTGACTGATACAATGTAGTTTGGCAATGGAGGGACATAGGGATGCACTACACTACTTTAATGTATCTAACGCCTTTGTATATAAATGTATTTCTAAACGTATGACTTGTCTATGCTATACAAAATAAACTTCTATAAATGTTTATGTGAAGAAAATATATCGAGAAAATGTTGCTTTCCGCTCCCTCAATCCTTTCCCTCATCCTTACCTGAATGAAGCCTGCACTCGATCAATATGTGTCCTGATTATGATTGATATGTGCCTCATCGGCCGAAGCAGCCAGCAGTAACTCAGAGATGTGCGATGCGTTTTGGTGTGGTAAGCTGCTTCAGCGGCAGGCACGGCAGGTCTGCTTCCTTCCTCGCACTAATTCCAGACATCAATCAGAACAGGAAGCATTTTGTCAGACTGAGAGACGAGTTCTGTGTTACACTGTTAAAGGATCACAGCGATTACTGCACAAACAATGCTTCGCAGATGAATGATGGGATACTACTACATCGGTTTCCACTGCTCGAAAAATGTAACAGGATATGATGCAGATGCCTTAATAAATAACCAAACCCCAAATCATTTTTTTTTCGTTTTGTGATTTGATATTACGTTTTTCCAGTTTTTATTTCCTGCCAAGATATTTAAGATGGTCTGACAGTAATACATATTTTATTTATTAAAACATACATAAAGATGAAACCCCACACTAATATATTTTTCAGAATCTAGGTTATTTTTCACAAAACTGATAGGAAGGCTGTGCCTGTTTTTATCAAGCACACCACCAACATAGGATGTGATTGTTTGGCAGGGTGCTGAAATCAATTAACTGATGCCAAGCCCTTGCTAAATATAAACTTACATATCTCATTAGGTGGAATAGACACGATAATCTACGGTTCCAGCTAAGCCAAATTAATTTGAATTCAATTAAAAGATTGCTATCTAAATTGAGGCTATGTCACATTTATTATTGGCTAAATTCTAATTTAGTTTCTTCAAGCTAACTCGCTGAAAATGAGTTGAACCTATAGGCCTAACCTGTTGTAAACACCCAAGAGAGTGTGTATATCAGATGAGCCTGAAAAACGGTCATCAGTGCATTATGCAGGAATACTCCGATTTTTAATGAACATGGGGCCTTTGAGTCAATGGAAGCTAAGAGGCTCTCTGAGGGAATGTGTGAAGTGAAAAATCACAGTAAAGTAAAAGAAAGTAAAGTTTGAATGTCGATTTATCAATACCAGGTCTAGTTGCAAGTCATAATTACAGGATAGAATTTCAACACCACTGAAGGGTAAAGCCAGTGGCGGTTCTAGAACATTTTACATGGGGGGGCAAAGGGGAGGCAAGAGGTCATGCCAGGGTGGCATAGGAGGGCGGACAGTACGTGGTATTTTATACTGTATATAACCTATTTATTGTTAATTCATGCCCTAACACAAGTGTTCTTAATGCACAAGAGAAACAAGGTGTTCAGACAAACAATCGGGTGCCCTTTGAGTCCCCCAAGCTTACCTCAACCATTTTAAATGAAAGGAAACTACAAAATGTATTTTAAAGCAATTAATTAATGGAACAGGTTGTTTTGCATTACAATGTAAAATTAAATATATATTTTGTTTTAAAAAAAATTGGTTGTCTTAGACAGACATATTTGCATGTCCTCACTAAGCATTATTACATATTAATTTAATATTAAACAAATCAAAATGGCCAATTATCCCAAAATGTTGCTGCTAATATAATCATATGCTTGTCAACTTTAACTGATCAAAAATAAATTCTGAAAAAATACTTGAATTATCTATGAAATTGCAATATTGTCCCTCAGTTTGTTTCAACCCCGTCACGCCATATCATTTACCCTCCTATTAAAATAATGGATCAGTCCATGTGTGGATCAGTCCATGTGTGATCTGCATTGAGGGAATTACATCACAAAAGTGTCAGTTTCTTCTCTTACCTATATTTCAGTTTTTGTATTTTCAGATTAAGATTGACAAGCTCAACATTTCAACTCTGTTGTATGAATTAATAATAGTAAATAATTGTTTATTACAAAAATAAACAATAGTTTTGCAAAATATTACAATGTTGTAATGTCCTTGACTTCCATGTGGTGCCATATCTTAGCTAAACAAGGTCTCATGCCTACTTTTTGTCAAAAACTTCAACCCTGTTAAATTTTTTCAAGGAAATTCCTAGTAATTATTTATATTTTGTGCCTGAGGTGGGAAAATGTAAGTAGTCCACTACCAGATGTTATGACCAAACATTTTGGTTTCATTTTTCAAAGATATAAAGACCCAAAAGGCACCCGATTCAGAGAATACTCAGAATTCTGCATACTGTAAGTACTTAATTATAATTAAGTACACAAATGACATGACCCATCTCTTCAGAGAGCTACAGGTGACCTGTGCAGCAACACATTTCAATACATATTTGTCAATACTAAGAGCTGCTAGATTGTGCTGCTGTAATGGAATATGTAAGGAGAATAAGAACACACCATGTGGTCCAGCTGGAGTCTCCTCTGCCTCCTGATCCCTGCCTCTGGCCCTCTTTCTGATACTTCATCTTTATTCCTCACATATATTTCTTCTTCTTCACTAATGTCTTCATCTCCTCCTCTTCCTCCTGCTCTGACCCTCCTGGTCTCTTCATCTCTCTTTTCCTTTTCCTCTTTCTGTTCGTCCTGATCACTTCTCATATGTATTTTTGTTGTTGTTGAATCACTCCAATAGTCTGGCCTGCAAGAGTCTACTTGTGAAAAGTACTGGTACAAATGCTTGTATAACTTTACACGTTAGGGCCATGTAGCCTAGCTAATATGTAGCATATCATAAATATAACATCAGAAAGTATTGATCAAACGCACACAGGCAGCTGTGTTTGGATCCAGTTTTTACGGTAAAGGATGTATCCTGGTTTCATTGATCTGGCCTCATGGCTGTGATGTGTAGTTTACGTGGATTTAATAGTAGGCTACCGCGTAGTTTAGCAAAGTGATTGATCTCCCAGCTAATGCTGTCTGCGTAGTATTTTGTAACGTAACGCCCCAAACAGCGCCCGTCTGTTAAACGCTATCGATTCAAACGGCAGCGTTTTATTAATATTTAGTTTCAAGCTCTCGTCCTTAGTAAAAACAAAACTAGTGGAAAGGGAAATGCTCCCAGGAGAAGCTGATCCATAGGTGCTGGGACAGCTCGCTCCCTCTCTGCAGCGGTGTGAGCCGCGGTCTGTGTGAACGCCGCTCCGCAGTTTAATGCAGGGCCGTAGCTGCATTTTTAACGGGCCTAAAATGATATTTAAAATGATTCAATTTTAACTAATGTAATGCTTGTTTTGTTGCTTGAGAAGCTTGTGGAAATAGTGTAGGTTTGTTTTAGTACAGTTTTAGGGAAACAAAAGTTAGGGGGGCAGCTGGGGGGGAAAGGCTCTACAGTGGAGGGGCAGCTGCCCCCCTTGCCCCCCCGTAGATCCGCCCCTGGTAAAAGCATATAAAGCAAGACATCAAATGACATGTTTTTTTTGGTCCCATAATGTGCTGTGTGTAACCCTTGGTCCAATGCCAACTGTAAAGGACTCAGAGATTTCTCAAAAGACAAAAGAATAAAAACAAATCTTGAGTTCCTTCATGTCTAGCAAATTATAAACCACAGGAGTCTATTTACCAAAATGTGAAATACTAATTGCATATTACCAAGGCCACGTGGGTTTGTAGAAAAAAATAAAATGTCTTGTGTGGTGAGACACAGACTCAGATTGTGAATGGATAAGAAGATTTTTATTGTCAGGGTTACCCAGGGAACTAAGATGGATGAAAATGAAAGTCGTGCAGGCGAGAGGGGAAAAGTGCAGCTGGTCAAGTGTGGCGGAGCAGGGCACAGCGAGTCAAAGAAACAGATGAGCCAAAAATATACACCAGAGATATCAACTTGAATACACAATTAAGGGGAATGCAGATGTCCTCTTCTATGGCTGAAACAACGGCCCGGTGGATTAATTAAGAAATGGAGTTGATATGCACGGAAGATAAGTTAGATGTAAAATGGAAGTGAGCGGAGAGTCATACACTTGTCACAGAAGCAGAGAGTCAAACAGGAAGCCCAGGAGACACAAGTGAAACATTAGCACTGTTCCTCTATTTCCATACTTCCCTTAATACACTGCAAAGTTGTACACTGTGAATAGCATTCTCAAATCACACACAATAGCTGTGCCTCATATGAAGTGGCTTGCTAGCAAGTACGATTATTGTTTGTAGTACCAAATCATTATACAGTATAGACGGCACAGTTATAGAATAGTGGAAAAACCCATGTGTATTGCTTAAATCTGTACAGTGCTGTTACTGGAGCAACTGGAGTTACCCTCAGCAGGTGCAATTGTCGTTGGTAAAAAGCAGCCAGCGTTCCACACTCAACTCTTGACCATTGTGAGAGCATCATCAGTGTACTCAAAGTGCAATGCAATTTCCCGTACTCCCACTGTGAAAGCACTAATGCATCAAAAAGCAAGTGTAAGTATAGAAAGTTTGTGAATTGAGACAAGGCAAAGGAACAACTGGAGACATGGTTGGGAATATATTGCATTAAGGTTTTTCTAAGCTATAATAATATGATCCCCTCAGAAGTGCACCATGGACGCTAACAGCATTTCTCCTACAGTAGCAACAAACGCATTCAATTGTCAATCAACGCCCTTTGAATTGTCAGCCCAAACGCCCAGATGGAGTTTCCACCATGGAGTTTTTCACCTGTTTCTTCTTTTCTTATCCCTCATATTGAACTGAACTACTTGTGAGAAAAAAAAAGTATTAAATCATCGGCATGTTCTTAGACCTCAAATTACCAAGATTTACTTAATAACCAGGAGGAATGTCATGAAGTGGTGGCATATGGAGGATGATGTGCAGCTGCTGTTTCTGCCTCTGTTGCCAAATTTGCCCATGGAGGGGAATTCTGGTAAAAGAAGGAACAGCTTGAAATCCAGTCTGACAACACGTTTAAAAATCCTGAGCAGCTACAGTGCCTGGAATACTGAGAAAAATATTGATGTCTTTATGTCTTCCTTTGGTGAATTCATTACACAGAAGGTGTATTTTAAATCACAAAATTAAAACTGAAACGCTAAAAAATTGAAATGTCAACTGTC